TTTTGTGTTTTTCTTATCCCAGTTGGCGAATGATGTAACTCGCGTGTAAGTAAATGTAACTCACACTGATAAGAAATGTAACTGCAAACAAGTCAAATATAACTTGTCTAATACAGAGTGTGAGAGTATAAAAAATAAAACATTGATTTCAATGTAAAAAAAATGAAAACAAGGAGTCCAATCGCTCAATTACTTTACATAAATAGTGAATATGTTTTGTTTGTAATATTAAAGCTATAAATATGTTTTAAAGAAAAATCATCTTTTTTCCAAAAGAAAAAACATTTTTTTGCATAAAAAAAGTTTTGTTTTTTGTTTCAATAGAATGGGTATATTTTGTAATGTAACTCGCATTGATGGAAAATAGAACTTAAGTGTATGCAAAATATAAGTTATTGAAGCATACCCAAATGTAACTCACACATAAAAAATGCAAACTTATGCACAAGAAGATGTAACTTCATATACTATCAAATGTAACTCCGGAAATTGTCTATAAACATAACTCACACACGCGAAGATGTAATCTCACATTTTATCAAATGTAAATCTAAATAAACAAATTTATTATCTTAAGAACACTAATAATATATAAAAGATATAAGAAATATATTATAGAGAATGGTGTATGAATACAAAAAAAATATTACAAAAAGTGTATAATACAATAAAAAAAGAAAATACAGAAATAAAAATAGTGTATGAATGTGAAATGTAATATACTTATTTTATTTAGATTAATATTACAAAAAAGCGTATAATACCAAAAATATAGGAAAAAAATATATAATACAAAAAATATTACAGAAATAAAAATAGTGCATGAATGTGAACGGTAATGCACTTATTTTACTTAGATTAATATTTTTTGTTATGAATTGATAAAGAATAAGAAATAGATTGAGTTGTAATTTAAATTGAAGATCGAGAAAAGTAAAATTGTAATTACATTTTTAGTATCTGATGGAGAATAAAAAAGAATTGTAGAAATTGAAGATAAAAAGAGAAGAACAGAGAAAATGAAATAATATGCGTACGTGCAGGGAAATAAGGGATTAGTGGATTGGCATACCATGTGCATGGTGTGTCAATCCCACTGTATAATTTGCATTCCACAAGTCCTAAGCAACATAAACATCATATGACATGTTAGATATATCACGATTAAGAATTAGATTTTGGATTCACTCTGTATCCTCTAAATTTTGTGAAGTATATGTGTAAAACGTAAAATATATACAATCTGCTTCTCTAACATCTAAAGCAAGTGAAGATTATTGTTTCTATCGACTTTCAGAAAGATGTTGAACGACTCTCATAAGCAAGCTATCTCTTTGAAGAATAACGAGGACGGGTGATTTCCCTATACAACGTGCCTTAGCCAACATTATCTCCTTCATCAATTCTCTAAATTCTTCACGATCAATGGTTCCATTTTTATCCACATCAAATCTCTCAAAAATGGCATTGTACAAATTATGTATCTCATTTCGAGACTGCAACTCAAACTCTTGTGATCCAAACTTTCCTTGCCTATTTTCCAATGCTTCGCGTGACAACTCTCCTGTGTTATCTAGATCAAGTGATTCGAACTTTTTATCGACCCAATGGTTAAAAGGTTTGGTATCATTCACAAATGCCTCTACCGCAAGACCATCAACAAAAGCTACACTCATTATTCAAACTTACCAAATTCAAATGAAGAAAGATATGTGTGTGTTTGGGTAGAAAGTACATGTGTTTTGATGTTTATTTATACACACACAAAGTAAAAAATAAAGTTGTTGGCTATTAACCCTACTTTGTGAGAAACCCTTTACCATTCATGATGCGTATGAATAGGAATTTATTTGGGAGGTAAGTTTCGTTTAAAATGAAGCAATTTTAAACCACAAAAGGGGAGTGACATAAGGAAAAACAATTAGGCATTTTGAAGGATGAAAAGAAAAGTAGGGAGTTTGAAGTTAAATTTTTAAGCCACACAAAAAGAGTGACAATACATTTTTTTACATTTATAATATTCAATTTTGAGTATTTGCGATTCAATACATCATCAAATTAATATTTTGTGCATTTTCTTTGCACAACATTAATATGTAGGGCTTTCAAAAAAACATTAATATGTAGAAAGAAACTACTATGCACACATGCATATACGTCAATACTTTTTACAACATTAATGATATTTTTATTGAGTTTATAATGTGACATATCACATAATTATTTTGCACAATTACTTTAAAAGCGCGCCTGCATCAAGAAAACATACCTAATGCACAGTTGCATTTGTGACACCACTTACATGGTTAATTCTAACAAGTTATTGCAAAACTTTGTAATTCAATTGACGAAATCAATTTTTCACACTTTTACTTGAACAAAATAAGTAATTGAAAATTTAATTAGCTATGACACTTCTCGTAGAGTCGTAGACTTCAAAAGAGCCTAAAGGGTGAATAATTTGCATTCATTTCTCAGGTTCTTGTTATTCCTTTTACTATTACATATTTTTTTTAATTACACACTTATAATACTTTTCAACTTTATATATTGGTGCTCGGTGATCTTTGAGAGTGGACTAATATATTTTTAAAGTGTCTATGAGTTGTGTGTGATGTGTCATTATCATCACCACAGTGTCGCAAAGGCTCCCACCTACGATGTATACTACGTATGTAGTAAGAGATTTATCGAGTGTTAGTGGTGAGAGTAAACGGAATAATGATGTCAGGTGGTGTGAAGTGTGAACTTGTTTATTTCACTCTTATATGTTCTTTGAGTAGACAATCTACCAACATCATGTTCAATGCAAATGGGCCAACATTATGCCTTGATCACAAAACAAACTTCAAGGTTGTTTAAACAATTTTTCACTAGCAAAGAGTGTTTGATGGATCAAGTATTTTGCTTGTCTTGGTTTGATTATAGCTTATTTGTTACATGTCTTCAAAAATCGTCTTTCCTTTGCATTCACCTTGGGTTAGTATGATGGTGTGATGCTTCTTTCTCACCCTTTTAATGTTAATGAATACGAAATTATAAATCTTAAGTCTTTTGTGATGCTTCTATCATGTGATAATAGCTTAGTGTCTTATTTTATGTGCTTGGATTGGACTTTGAAGGGGGGTCCATTTTCACAATTCATGTTGTTCTTTTTCCTTTTGTGGTGTCTTCCATAATATATAATGTTCTACAGTTTGGATGACTTAACATTTTTGTATAGGTAACCCAAAACTTCCAACTAAGTTGACTTTTTCTTCTTTGATAATAACGATAATTACTTGTGTTTTATGTAAGTAATTATACATATACATTCAAAATGGAGATTGAGAGTCACAATTCAAGATAGAAGAGCAACATGTTTATAAAATTCAACCCCAACGCCTCATGGTCAAACAATGGAAGCAAAGAAGAAGATAAACAAGTAAATGTGTCACCTTCTACGCCACCATCCAAGTTTCTACTTCAGAAATGGCCAGAAAAACCTGCTCAAAATCGGTGCCGAAGTTGATAAAAGTATGTAGAAATTAATGCAATGTGCAAAATATTTTTGATAAGAAGAGGAGATTTTGATATGGTAGATCAGGAAATTTAACCACATATTACAAGTATATATCATGAAAAGACCAAATGATATCAGAACACCACATTTCATCACAAATTGATTATTCATAGTCCATTAATTAACTTTTAAATTTTATATTTATTCTTGTTATTTTGTGATATTTTTGAGAGGATGAGGATCATTTCTTGTAGCTACCGGTGTTTATTTACTCCCTATTATTTAGCTTCTAATTTTATACTTTGTATCTTTTATTTACAAACACTATATTTTGATTAATGTAAGCATTAGAGGCTTAATTAATCATAGATTATTTAGTATGAATTAAAAAGTACATTAAATTTTAAAAATCAAATACCTTGCAAAAGTTTATGCTTATAAAAGATACTTGTATTTGTTTGTGTATTTTGGAAACAAGTTAACTGGGTTTCAAATTTGCTTCATTAGTTGCCCACATTAAAGATCCAACTCGAAGTGATTTTTTCCAATACTCAACCCTACCCGTTCAACTTATATTACATATCGCGAGTTGGTGAATAGGCAACGTGAATGAATTCGGTAGGCCCAAAAAATATAGCAAACCCGACCCAACCTACTAGATTTGCAACCCTACATCCGACATGTCCCAAGCCCGCCGTCCACCAAGTCGGTCTTGATCGAGTAGTAGTGACCAGGCCACCCCTAGAGGCAATTGGATTGAAGCATAGGTATAAGTATCTACACATTAGTGTAAGAGTTTCATTCGGTGTGTTGGCTTTTTATATGCACCACATCGGACCACCTCCCTCAACAAATGAAATTGTGAAATCATAGAGCATAACTTACCCATCTACCACTATGTTGGGTTGGGTGTGGGCACATGAGTTGAAGTACAAGTTCAAGCTAAGGCTCTACGATGTGAGTTTAAAGTTTCATCTAATGCTTTGACTCCTTGTACGCAACACATCACACACTACTCACGTCTTTCAACATTGAAACTTTATCGTAATTTATCCATCTACCACTCTTGCTCGATTGTGGGGCACATGGAGAAAGCATTTTTTACCTTTTTAGATTGAGAGCCGAACTCAAACTCAGTACATTCGGGTTCAACCCTACTCGTTAACAATTATTCTGAAGTTAATCCAATTTAGCGTTATATATATTGAAATAAATGGAACTATGGAAGTAAACAAGTAGCCCTTTTGATAGCCCCTTTTTTCGGCTTATCAGGCTTATCAGTTAGTTTTTTCACCAAACATGTAACTGTTGATTTCGCGTGTTGAATGGCGTAATAATAAGAAAAAATAAGGTTGAATTTACTTTTATGGCTGTATTGGCCGAAGTTACTGTGAAGTATCATTTTAGCTATTTTTTCATATAATTTTTTATTTTATTTATTAATAACAAATATTTGAAATGATTTTTTTCATAAAACAGCAGAATTAGCCAATATAGTCATTTGAGTCCGAACTTTATAAATTTCAACAGAATCAGTCAATTCAATCAATTTCAATGTTACCAAGCAGGCTTTAAAGATGTGATGCTATTTTATACTCCCTACTAGTACTACCTCAACCCAATTTCTAGGTATATACCGATCTACCAATTCATTGACCGTTTGGTTCCAACATACGGGTTGTTTAGAAAAAGTTTGCCCGATCAGTTTGCTGCCCCAAACTCGAGTGAAATCACTGTATGATGTCTCAAAAGTAGAGCCTAATTACATTGACTAGTGCAACCAAGAAACAAAGAAAGAAAGACGGCAACTTGGATCATTAGGCATCTCCCTTCCTCCGGCCAACCGAAAGCTCCGTACTAATAATTTTAAAAACAGAAAAGAATCACTCCCAAAGCCAAAACTTTACTTTACAATTGACATAGTGAGTGAGTAAGAAGAGCTCAAGAATCATTGTTTTCAAGCCAAGTATATATCTGTGATGTCTCACCAAATCCATGAGGCCACCGGAAAGATGACAAAGCTTTGCCGGAAAATCGTGGACTTCAACTTCCGGTGGAGATTAGTGGACAGAGTTTCGTATCTCAAGGATTTCTTTCGGCTCATTTGGGAAAGACTGCTCATTTGTTCCACCCAGAAGCCGGAGCGGTACCGGAGAATAGCCGGCCGAGAAGGCGCCGCTCCATTGCCGGAATCCATGGAGGTCTTGATCGAAGAGGCCCCCACTACTGCTATTCGTTGTGGGTATGAGAGTGAATCGGATTTGGTGAGCTTGAAGATCAGTATATTGGGTGATTCCCAGATTGGGAAAACAAGTTTTGTGGTGCGTCACTTTTTATGATTGATTTCAAGATTCTATCAATTTTAGCTTTCACATCAATAAAGAAATCCTTCAATGTTCAAATATTCGTTTCTTAGACCAAGTATGTAGGAGATGATCAAGAAATGAGGTGTCTGCAAATGGATGGAATAAATTTTATGGACAAAACATTAATTGTCAGAGGGGCAAGGATTGCTTTGAGCATATGGGATGTTGGAGGTATGTGTTTTTTTCTCTTTTTTATATGCATTTATTTTGAACCAGAACAGAATATTTAATTGCTGTCAGGAAAAATGTACATGAACTTCTTGGGATAAACTTAAGTAAACTGAAGTGTGTGTATAAAATTCTTGTTGGGATATTATGAGGTTTATCTAGAAGAATGTAGTAAAGAATAATTTGAAGAGTTTAATTCAGGTGTGGACACAAACGCATTCTGCTCTAGTTCTGATACTAGATTGAATTATGTGATATTGAATTTGGGAAGTGTGAATAAACATAGTGAGATCGAGGGTAGTATAAAATGGGTCTGGGCCATCTATAGTGCTGGTATGGCTGCAAACCGGCTAGAACGAACAGTTTTGGATCTTAATCCTTCCCGATTATGTGGCCATCAAGAAACTGTATCCAAACCGGAACCAGCTTGTTCAGTCATATTTGGATGAACCAGATTCAGACTGAGTGATTTAGGATCTATAAACATGTCAGTCTGGATGTCTAGAACTGGGACTGTATCCATACCTAATTTAACTCAAGGGAGAATACAATGTACTTCATATATCACTCATAAAGAAAGCTCAATTTGCTTCGATAACCTATTTGTAGGTTTTTGTCATTAGATTATTTCTTATAAATGAACCTGAGTTTATAATTAGAACCCAGAGATATATAACAAATTTGCAAAATTGGGGAATGTGATTATTTTTTTGTTGGTGCTTGAAACTTATGGAGCAGGAGAGCAACTTCCAAACGCCTGCAATGATGCAGTTGCTATTCTATTCATGTTTGATCTTACTAGTAGATGCACCCTAAACAGGTATGTTTAAACTTCTTTTTTTGAAGGTACAGGATTGCTTTTTTTTAATGTCTTTTGGGTTTCAAGTAAATGTAAAAAAATAGGAATATTTAAAAAGAATTTTATAAATAAATTTTATTTTCATTGGTTTTGCAGTGTAATAGGATGGTACAGTGAAGCAAGAAAGTGGAATCAGGTGAGCAATTGCTGTAAGCTTCTGTTTCACATTACTGTTTTCTTATAATTGGAAATAGATCAAGGCTGTAGTGGGAAACAAGCATCTTTATTGTTTTGTTTTTGTTGGGGAGAAAATGGTAATTGGGGAATCTTTTTCCCAACCAACAAGGCTCCTTCATATTGTTTGTCCTTGAAAGGTCAGAAATAATACTTAAGTATGAAATTGGACTTGGGAGTTAGCTAGTTACATCCATAATTAAAAGATTCATTTCCATCAATTACTAATACTGAAATAACTAAATTTAGATTATTGTCCAATTTGTGCTGACAATTAAATTTCAATTGAACTGAAATTTTCTAGTTTCATTTAATTTATATATACGTCCTGTCAAGTTGGTTAAGAAATGTTTATATTTGTATTTACTCTGATCTATTTAAGTCTAATCTAATGTGATACTAATAACATTGCAACTTACCAGTGAGAAGATCTTTAATCATATCTTCATGTCCATCACCTAAAGCAATATTAACAAATGACTACAAACAATGACTAAGTCTACAATTTGGGCTGGACTTGTAAAAAATGAAATAAACTTTTATACAAAATTTTATACACATATATTCAAAGTTTTCAAATCTCGGATAGGCGGGAGCCTAGCATGCACCCTCCTAACTACAAAAACGAGTAATTTTTCTCAGAAGGGTTATAATTTGCACACTGATTTTTTTTTTTATATATCAGGATCCGAGTTTACACTGTTTTCAAAATCATTATTTTCTACACCCTAAAATAAAAGTTGCCCTTCATTTTTCTCATATTGAACTCTGCCTCCTATTATCAACTGATTTTTTAAGAAAGTTCAAACTCAAATTTGGATGAAAAAACGGTGTAAAGTCCGATTGCTTCCAATTTTCTTTTATGAGCTATATATACACATATTTGTGTGTATGTATGTATGTATGTGCTAATGTGCAGTTACTATGTTTCAGTCAAACTTTTAAAAGGGCAGTGTATGGAGTTCTTTAGTATATGATGAAAGACCAATTTAAATCGTCTAATTAGATGGTGTTCATCCTTTGATGTTAAAGACAATAGTATGAAATATGTCTATCTAAAAATGTGGATGGAATGGTAATGCAGACGGCAATTCCAATACTTATCGGCTCCAAGTTTGACGATTTTGCCCGGCTTCCGCCCGACGTGCAGTCCTCAGTCATCACTCAGGTAGCTAAACTTTTTTAGCCAAGAATTATGAACGTAATGCTTTTAGATCAGCTTAAAACCAATAAAAACTGACCTATTTTGGTTAATTTATGCCTCCGGAAATGGATAATGTTTAACTCATACTGCCAACTAGTGAATAAATGTTATTAATCAGAATAATTGTGTAATTATTGTCCCTTTCAAACCACATTGATCAGGATTCTCCATTGACATATCTCTAGTAGTGTAAATTAATAGAAAATCATTTACCAAGAAATAAGACTTTACTTATGAGCATCCCAAAAAGATGAGTAAAAGTTATTTTAGGGATGGAGGAAATATATCTTATATATGGATTTAGGCGGATAATATTTTATTGAAAATTCCAAAATAGGACTGTCGTGGTTTTATTCCCAAAATAGGACTAATTACTGCCATGTTTTGGCAGTACTAGACTTCAAACATGGCAGTATTTTCCAAACTTGGTAGTAATTACTCCTATTTTGGGAATAAAAAACATGACAGTCTTATTTTGAAATTTTCAAACTGTTTTAGTCCTATTTCGGGAACTTTCCCTATTGTATTAGGAGGCTGGAGCTTATACACACATACACATGCTTAAAAAATTGGGGGTGCTCTAGGGCTCTAGGCTCTAGCCACGTCTAGTCCCTCTTTAGTTCCATCGTTAAAATTGCGGGTTATAAGTAGAGTTGTAAACAAATCAAGTTGAACCGAATACTTGATAAAAAAGATAATATTATTCATATTCCTTTAACATTTGAACCTTATTTTTTATTCGTATTCGATTCGTTTGGTCTTTCCATAATTTGCAATGAATCCAAAGACTCACTATTTTTGACTTGGGAATATGATAGAATAATGCAAAATGGCTCACTAAATTGTCTGCGCTTCTTTGTTATGAAGCAGCAGTCAATCTAAGCAATTTTCAACACGATTTTACTACGGGTCATCCAGAAACGGTCTCTTTGTACTTTAGTACAAGGCTAAGGTTGTGTACATCCGACCCCCCTTACCCCACCGTAGGTGGGAGCCTTTGCGGCACTGGGGTAATGATGAAGAATGATGAAGATTCGATTTGTTTGGTATATTCAAATATATTCTAATTTCATTCGAATATTAGAATCTTATTCAAATTCGAAAAGCATTAAAATTAAATTTTGAAAATAATTAAAATTATAATGTATAGTTTGCCCTTTAACCTCATTTTCATTATACATACTACCTTTGTTCCATACAATGGTTTTCGTCCAATATTCTCCGGTCAACGTAAAGTCTTCATAATCTTTTACTTTATATTTCCAATTTTTATAAAATTTGAGTTTTTTATATTTCATGCCAAACAAAATATATCTACAAGTCACTCATTTTAGAGAATTATAACTCTAAAATAATCTATTCTGACATGGCAAAGTAAGAGCATTTAAATTAAAATATGCAAAATACCTACTAATTTTTGTACATAAATATTATATAATTTTTTTACACCGAATTATATTTATTTATAAAGAGTAGAACATATTGTATGAATATTTTTAGGGAAAACTGTCAAATCAGTCCACCTACTATTTCAAAAAAGTCAATTGAGTCCATGTACTATTTTATCGATCAATTAAGTATACAAACTCTCAAATTTCAACCAATTTTGTCATTTAACCTATAAACAACCGGTAACCCCTCTTTGTGCTGATGTGGATGCCACTTCAACATTTTTATAAGATTTTCTTTTTCTTTTCCCTTTCTTTTTCCCTTCTCCCTTTTAATTTTCCTTCTTCTTCCTCCTCTGTCTCTGGTTCGTACCCCCTCCCATTCATCCGCCCCCTGCAAGTCTGCAACTACCCCTTGGCCTCTCCTTCATTCCCTATTTTTTCATTTTCTCCTTCTTCTCCCAGCAACTCCTCCCCTCTTCAATCTCTTCTTCTTCCCCACCGCTTCTACCCCACGGCCCCACCCAATTCAACCTCCCCCTCCCTTCATTTTTGCAATCTTGCCCACCCGTTCTTCTTTCATGCTAAGAGAAGGCAACCAGAGGGTAACCTAACGGCAAAAGTTGCTCTTCTATGATGGAAACCAGATGGTGACGGAAAAGGCGGCGGCAGAGATCTACGGCGATGGTGACGGTGGCGTCAGAGGTCGACGGAGTTGGTGGTTGCAGAGATCTACGGCGGTAGAAAGATGAAAAAGTAGAGGGGGAGAAGGAATAAAAAGAGAAGAGAATAAAGAAAGAAAAGAGAAAGAATGAGGAAAAGAGGAAGAGAATAAGAAAAGTAGAAAAGGGGGAGAAACGCAGAGGTGGCATAGTGCAGACTTGAAAGTTGAACAAAGAAGAAGAAGAAAGAATTTAAAAACAAAATGGAAAAGAGATTTTAATGCCAGCGGACAGCCCAATCAACACTTACAAGAAAAAAAAAGCCATCTGGATGATCCACGTAAGCTGATTACTGGGAAAACCGGTCAATTAATGGGAAAAAGGCAAATTTGATCATTTTTTGACACTTGATGGACTTAATTGGTTAAAAAAATAGTATGTGGACTCAATTGACTTTTTCAAAATAGTAGGTGGACTGATTTGACCATTTTCCCATATTTTTATAAATATATTTATATATGTGTGTATATATTTATATTACTATATAATTCGAATATTGTTCGAATCGAATATTATAGTATTTGTATCCGTATTGAAAAACTATGTGAATCAAAAAACATATTTGTATGTGTATTTGTATTCTACTAAATCGAATTCAAATTTATATTTTCGAATTCGAATCACGAATGAAAAGTATTCAGTTGGTTTACCACATAGGTTTATATTAGCTGATAAGCCTGATAGAGATTAGCATTTTATAAAGTGATGTTCAAGAGTGTGTCGGCAGTAAATGTCCAGCAGATTGGATAGGTGTGAATAAATCAGTCAACTCTTCTTTTGATTGCCAATACAAAAAGACGCATGTTTACGCGTGAAATCACGAGCAAATCAAATTTTACCAGGCCATAATGATTCAAATGAGATCATATTTGTGCAAATGAAACACCTTTAATCGGACCAAAACATATTGGTGATTAGACTGCCTCGAAACCCGATTTATCACATTTATCAATCAACTTTTTCATTAAACATGTAATTCTTGATTTTGCGCGTCGAATTGTGTCATAATAAGAAAAATGTTGTAGTTACTTTTGTGGCTGTACTGGCTGAAATTAATCAGTAGAATCAGCCAATCCAGTCACTTCAGTAAGAAATTCATAAAATTCAGTAGAATAATGTGATTCAGATAATTCAATGTCACCAAACGGGTTCTAAATGTTCCCCTAAATCTCAAAACAATTGGTCAAACTTTAATCACACATCTATTAGTTTAAATGAAATTATATTACTTAGCCACTTAGGTTTTTAGAATAACTAAATGAGAAAAGTTGATAAAATGTTTTTGGACAATATTTAGCCTTCTACAGAAGTTATCAAAATGCATTTCACTTCATGCATTGAAAATTCATGGGTAGGTGGACGAACGACCATGCCAAAAAATTGGTCCGACTTGTTAATCCGTTGAATTTGGATAAATTTGAACTGCTGCTTTTAATTTTTCAAGACAAAAAAGTGGCAACCATCCCGAATGCGACATTTGTGATGTTATGGAATTTAAAACGTGCATTCTATGTAGCACCGATACCGGTACGCGGAAACGCGAAAACGCGGAAACGGGTACGAGGATACGTCAAAACCAAAAAGAGTAGGATACGGATACGGGGCCATATTTATAAATATTAAAAGTTATAGGGGTGTATTTACAAATATTAAAAGTTATAGGGGTCTATTTATAAATATTAAAAATAGATTCTTTTGAATATATATATATATATATATACATATAATATCCTATGATGTCTACTCATTCACTGCATTGAAGCATTTTCCTTTTTCAAGATACTTAGTAATAAATTCATAATATTTCTCATATACATTAGTGCATCTCGAAATATAAATATAGTCAATAAGTCATTAATTTAAAATGAGAAATAAGTCAAATAACTACAATCTTCAAATTAAAAGTGTAAGTACCCAATTCGGAGTATGAGTTAATGACTTAATTCGGATATAGCCATATAGGCCCATTATTTGATTACCAAGTAAAATGTAGTTTTAGATTTTCATTTTTTTTAGAATTTATTAAGTAAATTTTGGGATTTTTTTTAAAGTTGATACGGGTATCCGTCAGGATACGAGTATCGGAAATTTTCAAAAAATTACACAAAAAATGGAAACTTTTAAAAATTGCAGATACGGCCTGGGAACATACGGTACGGGTATCATAGATTATCGGATACGGGAACGTATCGGATACGCCGATACGCTACCCATGGGAAGTATCCGTGCTTCATAGCGTGCATTTATTCCTAGAAAAAAAGACGTGCAATTTTTCAAAGTTAATTGAATTGAATCTTGATTGTGTTTATTATAATGGAGAATTGGAGCTTCCAACTTTCCACTGTTTTTTTAACCTAAGTTCGTCTATCTATTGCAATTTTTCAATCAGTAATTTCCCCTACACTTGAAATTTTCAATTGTTGCATCCTTAAAGTTGTAATTTATGTCCCATTGTGCTTCTACTTTGGAGCATATACTCTACTTTAGGGTAATTTCCACTACTTTTTGCGTGCAAATTAAAAATTAATTTACACATCTAGTCAAACAGTGTAATATATTTTACATGCAAAATGATGACTTTCCTAAACATTGCATGCAATCTTTTCGCGTGCAAAGATTTAATGTACTATCGTATAAACTATCAAACCAGCCCTTAGAGTATTCTAAACGGGATGCAAAGATTTTACATGCATTCCCGTTTAGAGTATTCTAAACGGGAATGCAAATCTAATGATTAAGAAAATGGCCTTAAATTAAAAGCCTCTTATTACGAATTTTCAAAACTAGTATACAAAATACAAATTTCACCTGGACTAGATACAAAAGTACTAAGTAGTATACAAACATAGAAAGAATTCAAACCTAACCTGAACTAGTATGACCTTGTTCTTTTTAATTTGATTTGATTTAAATTAGTCTAGTTGGGTTTGTATTTGTCTGGTCTTGTAAGCTATGATATCCTCAATATTTTGTACTCTTTTCATCCTATTAAGATTGTCTAAATCTATCCTTTTCGATCCGCCCCACAAAGCTTGTACTATACCAAATTTGGTAAAATTTGTGTGGTTCTAATCATTCTTACTTTATTCTTACTTTATAAGTTCAATATTAATCACATAAACCCATTTTTTTAATAACCGCCACCAATTTTTCATGTCACAATGTTAGTAGAGCAGGAAATTTCTTAGTGTACACAAGTTGTACACAAACCCCCCCTAGTTTCCTGTGTACATAGGCAATTCGTTTAAAAAGGGGCAGAACTTGATGACAAATTTCCTGTGTACACAGACAATGTACACATTTTGTGTACATCTTGTGTACACCAAGAATGGTCCTAGTAGAGCATAGTATGTCCACTAGAATTCTTCATCAAGACTCTGATTACATCTATGCTTGTGCCTTTTGAGCTGATTTGATTTGGTCTGGGTAACCGAATCTGAAACATTTATAATACTGAAGTGATGTTTATTAGGGAGTACGGAGTATTTATTAATTAATGTTGGAACTTGGCAGGCAAGAGCATATGCTAAGGTGATGAAGGCAAGCTTATTCTTCTCAAGCGCAACCCATAACATCAATGTCAATAAGATCTTCAAGTTTATTATGGCCAGAGTCTTTAACCTTCCCTGGAACCTTGAGAGGAATCTCACCATTGGAGAACCCATCATTGACTTCTTATAATCTTGCATTTTTTACTCAACAAGTCAACAACCCTAATTGATCTTTGGATCTCCTCTTTTCGCCAGAAGTGTTTGAGTTCAGATTCTCCCATTTAGGCACGGAGTAGCACTTCGTTTTTTTTCTGGTCACAAGTGTAACATCCCTTTGAAGTGGATTCTGTTTCATTTTAAGTCAGAATCAGAATTTCGGTTGTATAATATAGTCGTTCCGAAAGAGGTGTATGAAATTGATTCTGATATATCGAATTCCACCATATATGTATGTCTTTCATTATCGAGATATACGAAGTATATATGTACATATATATACACACCACTACACCTGTATTACATGTATACTCACTCACCAGAATCCATCATCAATAGCCCTCTTACTCAACTGGATAGTAAGAATTAGTTCATTACCTTATAAAAGTATTTTAGTTTGAGAAGAGTTCCACTCAACATTTTGAGAGAGTAGGGCAGCCACATTTATATCAGCTATGCCTCCAATTTCATGGACTGAATTTTCAATTTTCCCCAACCGTTGCAGAACTTGCAGCGAAAAATCCTTCCAAAGTAGATTTTTTTTTTTTTAAATTTAATTTTACTAAAGTAGATATGTGTGTCTGTATAAAGGTGGGAAGAACAAGATTCATATGTGCAAATATAAGTAAGAGTATTGCAGATGATTTATTATGCATAGTTACTATAAGAAGAATAACTTGACTCATTAGTTTATAATAACAAATAAAAGTCATATACAATTCTCATGTATACAATTATCCACGATTTGATCTGCCAGTTCCTATGCTTCATTTGTCACAAACCAGTAGAGCCCAGACCTCGGCTCGATACTTCTGAGAAGACTGAACTCAATATTCAATTACTCCCTCGGTCCCTCCGTCCCCCAATTAAGTTCTCACTTTCCTTTTTGGGCAGTCCCTAAATTAAGTTCACACTTGAATACTTTCCTTATTTGGCAAATTATCTACATCAAAATAGTGTCAAACAGTGCAAAACAGTGCAAAACAGTGCCAAACAGTGTCCAAACAGTATGTGATCATATTTGATTCATAAGATTTTTATGTAATGACCATTACTTCTTAGCCTATAGCACATTTATGCATAAATGTTTTCAGTATTTAGGGGCCTACTCCCTCAACCCATACGAGTGGTGTCCCGCTCTCATTTGGAGAGCAGATTCTCCACAAGTAACTTCTCCATTCACCAGTCTCTTGTACTATAAAATCATATATGAATAAGGAAAAATCGTATACAATTATATCATGAGTTTTGTATCGGAACAATAGAAACACATTACCTCCACAACACAGTCACACTAATGAGCTTTGTGACTTTCTACTTTACCTATGAGGATTGTGAAGATCAAACTATTGATTCCCAATGTCAAATGCCTCAACTTCAATTTAGTGCGCCGAAAAAATTGTTGCTTTAATCGCTCTGTCGTTGCGACATTCTTCCAATGAAGTCGCCGCCACCATGCTTCTCTGTTGAAGTCCTCATTGTGGCGTACGGGCAATATTGGAGTTAGGGGGCATTGATGGGGTAAGGGGGCAGGGGCAATGGCCATGATGCTAGGTTTTGGGTCTAGGTGTGTCTTGGATAGTAGGGTCAGGGGAGTGATGCAGAAGGGTGCAAGGATGGGTGGGTGGGTGGGGGGCAGTGAGGCAGTGAGTGACGTAGGGAAGGGCCAATGAAATGGGACCCAGGTGGTGAAGTCGAGCGGAAGGGTTGCGAACAATGGTAGCGGAAATAATAGGTTGAGGTACTGGCCAAAACGGTAGTGGGTTGGGGGAAGTGACTAGGGAGAGTGGGGGAGTGGTAGCTAGGGACGTGTCGGTGCGGTATGGAAGCGGAAGAGCTAAAGAAGGATTACGAGGGGTGGGGCAGTGGTGGTGCAAATATTGGGGAGTGGTGGGACAACAGTGGTGCAGAGGGTTGGGGAGACGGGGCAGTGGGGCCGAGTCACTATAACAGAGTCATGGATCATGAGGCCTTTGGGGATTGGGTCATTAATCACTAAGATCATGAGGTCGGATCATTAAGTGCCACGTTACTAAGGCGATTGCAGGTCAGTATTCGGGCTAAGTCACTACAAGGATGATGCCACTAATGATTGGAAGTGGTAATTAAGTATTAGCTCTGTCTCATTGGACATTGCTAAGCACTCTCATTGAACATTGCTAAGCACTCCCTATGTGTTAGGTGTTATGTGATTGAGAGTTTTGTAGAAGAGAAATAAAAAAAGTAGAACCAAAAAATATTTACTTTAAAAGGAAAGTGGAAAAGTTTTTGTTAGGAATTAAACTCACGCACGCGATGAATAATAAGAAGAACACATGAAAATTTGGTAACCCAGTTCGCCACGAATGACTACGCCTGGGGGAGCTACCAAGCCAGGAATTGTTGCTATTTTCGGATCTCAAGGGATTACAAAGGGAGAGAAGTTGTATTTATAAAGAATAACTGAATAAAACATAACCCCTAATTAGAGTAGGACGCACGTTTCCTAAAAAAAACGTACGACCCAATTTGTACGGAACTGTACGGACTGTACGGAAAACTTGATCGTCAAAAATGGATAGGGCTTTGTTATACAGTCTCTAACACCTTACAATCTCCCACGTTGAGACTGTCTTCTTCAAATCCTCCCTTGTAGCATGGTAGCGCCGGCCTTCATTTTCAAGTATCAAGGCCAATTGAAGCTATGCAAAGCTTCAATTTCTCCAAGGTTACCACCTTAGTAAACATGTCTGCTGGATTTTCACTCCCACGGATCTTCACAAGCTGCAATGCCTCTATCTCCAGATGATGACGGATGTAGTGATACTTCAACCGAATGTGTTTGGTTCTATTGTGAAAAGCTGTGTTGTTTGCCAAGAAGATAGCACTTTGACTATCACTGTAAAGAATGCTATTCTTGTACCCCTTCCCAAGTTCCCCAAGTAGATTCTGAAACCACACCATCTCCTTACTTGCCTCCGTAATGGCCACATATTCAGCTTCAGTGGTAGATAATGCAACAATCTTCTGCAGCTGTGAAAGCCATGAAACTTCCGTTCCACCAAATGTAAAAACATACCCCGTGGTGCTCCTTGATCCATCCGAGTCATTCGATGTCAGGTCTGCATCAACATGTCCCAGCAGCTCTACATTCTTCCCATCAAAACACAAAGCATTAGAAGCAGTACCTTTCAAATACCTCATGATCCACTTCACAGCTTCCCAGTGTTCTTTCCCGGGGTCTCCCATGTATCTGCTCACTACTCCCACCGCATGTGCAATGTCTGGCCTCGTGCACACCATAGCATACATGATGCTGCCAATTGCCGAGGGGTATGGGACATTCTGCATTTGAGCACTCCCCTCCTTGTTCTTTGGCGAATCTTCCTTGCTAAGCTTGAAGTGACTACCCAGTGGTACACTTGCTGCCTTTACATCTTGCATTCTGAATCTTTCAAGGACCTTCTGAATGTATTCTGCCTGTGAAAGATACAATCTGCCCGCTGCCTCATCCCTCTCGATTCGTATGCCCAAAATCTGCTTTGCCTCTCCAAGATCCTTCATGGAAAAAGTTCAGACAACTGTTTCTTTAGCTTCTTAATCTCCTTTGAACTAGCTCCTGCAATCAACATGTCATCTACATATAACAGCAATATAAGATAACAGTTCTCAGTCTTCTTGTAGTAGCAGCAATCGTCGGTGTGGCATCTCAAGAAATTTATGTCCCTCATGAAACCATCAAATTTCTTGTACCACTGCTTCGGTGCCTGCTTCAACCCGTATAAGCTCTTCACTAGCTTACATACCAAACCCTCACTGCCTTCTGCCACGTAGCCCTCCGGTTGCACCATGTAAATCTCATCATTCAGATCACCATGAAGGAATGCAGTCCTCACATCCATCTGATGTAACAACAAAATTCTCTGCAACAACTAACCCCAACCTTAACCGAATAGTAGTAAGTTTCACAACTGGAAAGAATATGTCGGTGTAATCGATACCATACCGCTGCTCGAATCCCTTCACAACCAGCCTAGCTTTGTAGCGTTTTCTTGACAGATTAACGTACACTTGACATATTTAGTGCCTAGCTTGCTTCAGTCAACATAACTGATATGAACATAAGCAACACAACCAAATATGCAGAGATAGGACATATTAACTTCCTTACCCGTCCACCTTTCTTCAGGAATGCCATTCTCCAACGAGATCGTTGGACTTCTGTTGATGAGAAAAGTTGTGGTGTTCACTGCATCCGCCCAAAACATCTTCGGTAAGCTACTCTTCAACCTCATGCATCCAGCCCGCTCATTCAGTGTTCTGTTCATGCGTTCAATAACGCCATTATGCTGCGGAGTCCCCTTTGTTGTCTTCTCCATACGAACCCCATTCTCAGCACAACACTTCTTGAACTCATGCAGTTCATACTCACCTCCATTTTCAGACCGAAGGCACTTCAACTTTAGACCTGTCTCCGTCTCAACAAGAGCTTTCCACTTCCTGAAAGCATCAAAGGCATCAGATTTATTTTTGAGAAAATAAACCCACACCTTTCTTGTGGCATCATCAATAAAGGTCATGTAGCAGGCGGATCCTCCTAAGGATGTAACTTCTGCAGGTCCCCAAAGGTCGGTGTGAACTAGTTCCACCTTCTCCGGTTTAATAGCTCTTCTCCCCTTCGAGAAACTGACGCGTTTCTGTTTCTCGAATATGCAGTCCTCGCATAAGCCAGCCTCAACAGTCTTCAGGCCGGGCAGTTTGCCCTTCGAGCACAGCTCCTTCATCCCCTTTTCGCTCATGGGATCGAGACGACAGTGCCACAAATTTACATTGTTTGTTGTTGCGGCAGCAACATCGATGCAATCCTTTGAGTTCGTTGTCATGTACAACGTACCCTCCTTCTTCCCTTTAGCAACCAACAAGACCCTCTTTGTGATCTTCCAATTTCTACTGCCGAATGTAACTGAATAACCTTCCTCATCCAACTGCCCAATTGAAAGAAGGTTTCTGCTCAAACTAGGAATGTGTCAGACACCATTCAGTTTCAACATGCATTCGTTTGGAGTCTTCACGTGGACTGTACCCTTTCCGTCAATTTTAAGAGACTCATCATCAACAAGATACACCTCTCCAAAATTGCCGGGAGTATACTGTTCCATCACTTCAGCATTAGCACATGAATGGAATGAAGCCCCAGAATCCAGAACCCATGACTCCAACGGACTGCTCATGCTTAGGATCAGGAGATCATCGCCCCGTCGATTCTGTCACTGCATTGGCGGATGTCTTCTCCTTGATCTTCTCCTTGCACTGACTCTTGAAGTGTCCATACTCCTCACAATTCCAGCACTTGATCTGACTTC